CCCCGAATTTAATTGGTCAGTAATTGTGTTGGTTTCAAATCCTATGTCCATGCCGTTAGGCAGCACTCGACCTGCTTGATATTAGTACACTTTCGTTACACCTTTTGATTGGATTATCTGCTTGGCAGATATCTGCTGATATGCTTAGAGCGGAATATTGGGATAATAACGCCTCGTAAACTGTTTTGCGAGAGTTTTAAGTCGTATAGTTTCGTTTCGTAGTTTGAAGATGAGCATTCATCAACAAATGTCAATATTTCTGACAACGAGCCCATGGCCCGATTAGTAGAGCGTCGGACTTTTGATTTAAAAGTGGCGAGTTCGAGTCTCAGATGGTGCACCACCCTGGGGTTAAGTAGGGCTGGTTAATGACGGCTAATGAGCCGGAAATAGTCGCTCCAGTCTCCCTAATCTTCGTCCGTAATGCTCATCTACAGAATTATCCGCTGCAAATGACTGTTATTATTCTGATCTAGGTAAATCTCATTAATATAACAGAGGAGAGACTGCCCAACGTTCAGTCCATATCAGAAGTACATATATGATAGCGCGAACGATAAGGCGAACGACCGTTTTCTATTAATCCATCATCAGGCAATACAATAATATGAGGGAGGATAGTGTTGACATAAGTTTAAACAACCAATCAGTAGTAATTAGGGGAAAAGGTGGAGGGAGGTGTAAAGGGATCAAAGGGGTCAGATTCTAGTCTAAATGGGGGAACAGAGAGGGAAGGTGTCTGAAAATTGGTTCATGTTGTCCCGTCGTCCTTGCCTTGCGTTTTGTTGGGAGGTGTGAGGACGCCAGGTGTCATCGTCTCATGACGGTGTGGGTGGCGTGTGTATGCTTGCTATCACTACCTCGTCATCGTTTCGCAGCGTGGTAGGAAGCGTGTGGACTGATGTTCAGTTGGCCTTCGGCCACAGGAGCCTAAGGGGCGCTACGAACGCCTTCTGCGCACATAAGATCGGGTTAGTGAGGCGTATGGCGACTGCCTCTGCCGTCGCAAGTATCCACTGACGCAGGAA